TTTTGGAAACTGTCTATTAGCCATCTTAAAGCTATTAGAACCTTCGGAATGACAAGTTTGAAAAGCCTTCATCGGATGAGTTTATCTTCAACTCTGAACAAAATAAAAATTAATTATAAGCTTAAGAACTTAAAGAGTTTGAAATAAACAGCAAAAAGCTAAATAAGATTTTGATCTAAGAAAGTTATAAATGGATTAAGGGTCCAGATAAATTTGGAATATTGACTTTTGGAGTCCTTGGGGTTCTCTGATCTTGTTTTTTTTCTTGAAAACGTTTCATTCCCCGGCTAGGTAACATCTTAGGTGCCTAGCCGGGTAAGGAAACGTTTGCAAGAAAAGAACCAAGCTCGGAGAACCCCAAGGACGCCACAGTTCAACCCTGAGCTACACATATTCGCCTCCATTGATATTGACTTTTACTATAAGATTTTGGAATTAACTATAAAAAATAAATAGCTTCTTATGAGAAACAGACTTATTTTGGCTAGCCTGGCTATTGTAAGTCATAATAAAGATAAGTTACTTTATGATTTTAGAAACTGGACACTAAAGGGGACTAAAGATTCTAAGCAAAAGGAAAAAAAATACAAGCCTGTTCTTGATGTCAGTTAATGATGGGACTTACAAAATAACACAAAACATTATAACATCGGAAACATTAAAGGAGATCTTTGAAGAATGGAGCCAGAAATTAGTAACTACAGCATCAACACTATCTGTAATGATGTCTTCTTCTATGGATAAACTATGTCTAGAAGATGTTAATGAAGGAATGGCAGATGTGGAACAAATTTTATCTGACAAGACAGAGAAAGTACCAAAAGTAGAACTACAAATGATAGGCCAAGAGAATGATTTGGAAAAGGACTCTTTACTGGATATACAAAAGAAACTGGCTGACGTTTTAAAAATGAAAAGGAAATACAAATGATAAACCAAGAGAATGACCAAGAAAATGTTTTCTTATTGGATCTACAAAAGAGGCTTTTTAACGCCTTGAAGAAATTTGTGTGATGGGATAAAGAAGAATTGAAGAGAAATCAAAACTCTCTCAGCAGGGCGAGCGGCGTGTAAGGCGAGTGGTGCTCAAGGAGAGGCCCGGGCTACAGAGAAGAACTTTTGCTCTAGTCTGGGATCTTTGGGGGTGCTTGATGTGTTGGTCCCAGACACTTGGAGGTTGGCAGAGCTCGGTGGAGGTTAGCTGGAGCGTGATGAGGACTGGGCGGAGCTCTGTGGTTGTGCCGGATGATGCAGAGAGTACACGGCCCAAAGAGAGATCTGGACTGCGACGACCTAGAACTCAGCTGGGCTTGAGGCCGGACCACTGCTCGGGGCCTGAAAATTGGCTGGACTGGTACTAGAGCACTAGCGGTGACCCGAGTTGCAGCTGGAGTGACCTGAGTGGGACCAGTGATGAAGGACTGAGGCCTAGGCATCGCCCTAGCAACTGGCTTGGCATCTGACACCTGAACAGTGGCTCTGGCCCCCTGGGGGTACCTGAAGGACTTGGAAGCTGGTGGGTTCGATTCCAGACTGAGTGTTGGGGTCCCTCCAGTAGATGTTAGCTGAGTCTCCCTCCCAGGGTGAGAGACAGGGAGGGAGTCCACGGGTGGATGCGGGAATGTGTGGGTGAGTGTGTGAGTGTTGTTCCCTACCGACCAGTGAGAGAAGTCGGTGTGGGGGGGCATGGTGTGTAAAGGGGTTGAGAGGTAAGGCTTCTACAGCACCGAGAGTGGGAGCTGGAGTGCCAGGGAGCACCCCCCCCGATTGACTGATTTAATTTACTGGGTGATTGTTATTGTATGTTTGGATAGAGGGTCCTCTATCTAGGGAAGCCAGAGGCCCAGAATTGGGAGGAATTGGAGGCCCTGGGGGGTTTAGGGCAGGCCATACTATTCAGGTGGGGATGGGGAGGGGGTGTTATGATGGGAGTCAGAGGGCAGGCCGCTCTTGGGGAAGACGCCCCCAGTGTTTACTACCAGTGGCGTGTTCCAGGCCTCTGGACTCAGACCCAGGCCCTGGACAGCAGACTTGCAGAGTCCCTAGCTTTCAGCTGCTGCTTCTTAACCACCAGGTCAGTTAAGAACAAGGCCCCCCTTATATGTGAATTGATCACTGAGGAGCGGGCTGACCTGGCATGTATCACTGAGATCTGGCTGGGCTCTGAAGGTGGGGTGCCCTTTTTGGAAATGTGCCCAGCTGGGTTTATGGTTTGGCACCAGCTGAGATGCCAGGGCAGGGGAGGAGGGGTAGCGGTTGTCATCCAGGAATCTCTATTGGCGTTCAGGGGTGCTGCTCCACAAGTGGCTGGTTGTGAGACCCTGTTCCTGAAGCTGGGTTCACGAGAACAGCTGGGATTGTTGCTGCTGTGCCAGCCTCTCTGTTGCGTAGCAACCTCCCAGCCTGAGTTCCTGGAGGCCGTCTTGGGGCTGGCAGTGGAGTTCCCCAGACTTATGGTTCTGGGGGACTTCAATTTGCCATCCCTGGGACGTGCCTCAGAGGCAGCCCGGGAGTTCATGGCCACCATGGTGGCTGTGGGTCTGTCCCAGATTATTCGCAACCTGACTTGGGACAGCAGTCTCACCCTGGACTTGGTTTTCTTGTTAGAGCTGTGGCAAAATGATCCAAAGGGGCAGTTACATCTGTCTCCATTGTCATGGTCAGATCATGCCCTGGTGACCTTGAGATTCTTTTATGCTACCCCCCTCTGCAGGGAGGCAAGACCTATTCAACTGGTCCGCCCCCGGTGACTGATGGACCCAATTGGGTTCCAAAGGGAGTTGGGGGTTATACCCGAGGATCTGCTGCATGGTCCAGCGGAGGCCTTGGCCACTGTTTGGAATAGGAAGGTGGCTGAGGCCTTGGACAAGATTACGCCTGTGCGACCACTCTTGTTCCATTGAGCCCGACACTCCCTGTGGTTTACGGAGGAGTTGAGGGTCTTGAAAAGGATTAAGAGATGTCTAGAGCACCGCTGGAGGAAAACAAGGACCGAATCCAACCAAACACAGGCTATAGCCACTATTAAAGCTTACCTTGTGGCGGTAAGAGTGGCAAAATGTCATTATTTCTCCGCTCTTATTGCATCTGCAGAATGCCGCCCAGCAGCCCTGTTTAAGATCACCCGATCCCTTTTGGGAAAGGAGGACCCGATGGCCTATTTACAGGGCCGTGCAGAGGAGTTTTCTGGGCATCTGGAGGATAAAATCGCTCGGATCCATTCCCAGTTGGATTCCAAGCATGGGGCATGGCCTATGGAGATGCCCAGGGTATGGATTTACCCTGTTATCTGGGAACAGTTTGATCCTATTGGACCTGAGGAAGTGGACAGGGTCCTTCGGACTGTTAATGTCGCCACTTGTCAACTAGACCCATGCCGCTCCTGGCTGGTCAAGGCGATCAGTGTAGGTGGGTCCAGGTGATGGTGAATTCATCCTTGAGGGAAGGGGTGTTCCCGGTCACCTTTAAAGAGACGCTGGTGTATCCCCTCCTCAAGAAACCATTCCTGGATCCCACCGTACTGGACAATTTTCATCCAGTCTCCCACCTCCCCTTTTTAGGGAAG